ACCTTAACTTGTGCGGGGCTACTTGTACACTATAAGAATGACATAACAGCACATGGTTTACAAATGTAACTGTGTTTTTTCCCACCCTGCTCTTCATTCCCTATCTATCTCTCAGCTCACCCCAGCAGACAGCTCCTCTCTGTCAGACTTCAACAGTGAACCTGCGCTGTACTTCTGATCTGCCTGGACCAAACAGGACTGACCACTGCCCTCCAGTACCAGAACCAGCAGCCAGAATCACAGGAACCACAACCCCCAGCCGGGACCAGTGAGACTTAGCAGAACTGGACATCAAATCGCACTTCAACGCAGTCAAAGCACTCCTCTTTTTCACACAGTTTAGTTTGACACCCAGACATCCACCAACCAATCAACCACCACAGATTCAAGCAGCTGGACTGTCCTCACCTTACCTGTACAGTTGATCTGTCTTTCCCCTCCACTTCCTCCACCTCCTCTCACTGACTGCCATTGAGCAGTGAAGTCTGAACCAGATCTGACAGACTGTATTTGATTGTCAAAATAAATCAGAGATTTGAAGATAAATATGCATTATAATGCAGTTTCCCAGACTTACGGTCTCCAGAAGAAGCCAATCTGGCTCCAATTTGTCTGCCTCGATGTCTCTATCTCTATGGCTGTTTTTACAGGCAGCCCAGATCTGATATTTTCTCTACTAGTCTTTTGACCAATCACATGAGATCTTTTTATTTCAGATATTTTTCAGAGCTGATCTTATTGGTCAAAAGACCAATTAGTGAAAAAAAATATCAGAATTGGGCTTCCTGTCTGAACGCAGCCTCTGTGTCTCCATCAATAATGTCATATTATACATAATGTGTATATATGGTGTCTATGGTCTCCATGTGTCCTTCTTGTAAAGGAGATGTATGTAGTGGTGGAGATCACCTTGTGAAGGTAAGTGACCAAATTCCTTCAAAACAAGGAAGCCATCAGTACCTGTCCTTATCGTGGTGAAGAAGAGACTGTGTTATCGTGTCCTGGATTCCCAGAATGTAGGCTGAGGACTCCACACGCCATAGGGGATGGCAGACCAAAAAACTAAAACTGAAGACTTAAATAGTGAAAGGGTGCCACAAGTCTAGTTCATTGTTGTTTTTGTACCTGCACGTTCTGATTTCTATTGACTTGGTTCCCCTTACTGTAGGTTTCTTCAGTATGCTTTTAGTTTTTGTATGTTTCCTTAAGACAATGCTGTGTTGGAGACTTTGCCTGAAGAGTCCAGGATCAAGCAAACTTCAACACTTCCCCCTTAAGATTATGCAAAGCTCTGTAGACCTGCTCAATTTAATGTTTGATTATCAAAGATATGTGATGTACTGCTTAAAAGATTGCCTTGGGAGGAAATTTGATACTATGTATATCTTCTGCGAGAAGCTTCATGTCAAAGGCATAGTAGAGTATAAATGCCTTGGTGTCGTCTGGAATTAGACCCACTGTCTACAATGTTATTAGAACAATTTCCCCTGGCCTGTGAAAGATAAAAAGATCCAACATAAACCATGAATAGCAAATATTGAGAGAAACCATTCGCCAGCACGTGGGTTTGTGAAAGCTTGAGTTTTCCTCTTAATGTTGAAGTTTGCATGTCAGAGACTCGTTCATGTATAGTATATGGATCAAATAGCTGGTGTAGAAGGGAAGGGTGCGTGCCTCCTCTTGGCTGTGTGTGTTTCCTTCACATTGACCATTGAAAATCGTTTGACCTTTACAGCCTGGCCTCACATTCCATAGAGCGTGAGCTGGTCCATTTTAGTAATGAAGACGACATTGATTATGAAACTAATGATTGTGTCTGTATCTGAGACCTGTGGTGAAAGATTAAGAAATAAAACGGGGTTTTGTTTTTTTACAAGGTTGCTCCAAGTCTTTGAAATATTTGTTACTTATAATGCCAATTGAGTCAAGTGTTCCATCTATTGCTGTTGTGGCCACCACACGCATTCTCATCATTTTCCAATGTTCTCCTTTGGCCAGTATTGATGTAGTTTCTATAATCTACAATTATGTTTTCATGAGAATAATGTATTACTTTAATCTCTTATGGCTTTTTTCTTTCTCCATATCGTCAATCTAAAGAACAGTTTAGATTGAACAGACACAAAGGGACTGCTCTGTTGGGAGGCTACATTTTTCTGTATACTGTAACTGTATCATGATTAGACAGACTTGGATTATGTTTTATGTCAAGATTGTATTTTAATTTGCACTGTCATTGTATTAGCTTTGTTTTGCACCTCAGAAGAAATACAGTAAAGGTGAAAGTGGAAAGTGGTGCTCATCAATCCATGTATATGTATCTCATCGGGTAGAAATAGGTGAATATGAGGAATTCACTGCCCAATAATACCATGATCTCTTAAAATGTTTGCCACAACCTTGAAACGATATTGGAAGACCAGAGAATGATCACTGGTTAGTGTCTACTGTTGGTCCTTCGATCAATCTCACACAGAATACAGAGCACGCACGCCATTCATCTGTGCTAACTGCTGCCTTTGAGGACCAAATCCCTAAGGAGGCCGACAGCTTTTCCTGGGAAACGTGCTTCTAATGTTGGCTTTCATCGAAGCGGAGGCCCAAGAGCCAGGGTTTATCATTGGATGTTCCAGTGATCATACTGTATGTGACACAAGCAAGACTGAGATGGCCATTATCGTGATGGAGACTGATTCACTTGAAAGATATTGATATTGTCCTATCTGTCTGGTCCTGTTGAGAAGAAACAGTACTTGTCTGTCATACTGAAGCCCCGTCTCATCTTGTTTTTCTCTTCCTCTGTCTATAAATCTCCAGCATCAAAGAGATGTGCTTACTGTAAAATGTGTACTTGTTAACGCTTTGGGAAAAAAAGATGTCAGAACTGTACAAATAAAAGCTCAATAAATAGATGAAGCTTTGAAGGACTGTGAATAGTATGTTATAGTGTTTCTGATGACTTCATCCCTGCCAAAACTCATAAATGCAGTGTTAAACCTGACCTAATAAACAGAACATCAACAAAGCGGACAAAAAGCTTCAAAAATCTCAGAGAAAAGCTTTTATTTGATGTGAAGGAGATTTGCCAGTAGAAAGAATAGAGCATCGTGCTTCCACCTAAACCTGCATTGTGCTATATTTATTCAGTATTTACATATCAAAGTGTCAGACAGCACCTCTCCGGGACTCTGTGAGTGTGCGTTTGTCTCATGTGCCGCTGTTGAAAGACACTAGCGCTCAAGAAACACAACCCATGGAATGACATTTGAGTGTGTCCCATACACTGCAATAGGTAAATGAGAAAGGAATCTTCACAATATTGAGTTGCACGCCCCCCCCCCCCCCCCCCCCCCTCCTTTTGCCCTCAGAACAACCTCAATTTGACGGGGCATGGACTCTACAAGGTGTCGAAAGCGTTCCACAGGGATGTTGGCCCATGTTGACTGGATGTCCTTTGGGGGGTGGACCATTCTTGATACAAACGGGAAACTGTTGAGCGTGAAAAACCCAGCAGCGTTGCAGTTCTTGACCAAACCAGTGCGCCTGGCACCTACTACCATATCCCGTCCAAAGGCACTTAAATCGTTCGTGTTGCAAATTCACCCTCTGAATGGCACACACACAAGCCATGTCTCAATTGTCTCAAGGCTTAAAAATCATTCTTTAACCTGTCTCCTCCCCTTCATCTACACCGATTTAAGTGGATTTAACAAGTGACATTAATAAGGGATCATAGCTTTCACCTGGATTCACCTGGTCAGTCTGTCATGAAAAGAGCAGGTGTTCTTAATGTTTTGTATACTCAATGTATATTATACTGAACTCAAATATGAACACAAATATAAACGCAACATGTAAAGTGTAGGTCCCATGTTTCATGAGTTGAAATAAAAGATCACAGGTGCACCTTGTGCTGGGGACAATAAAAGGCCACTAAAATGTGCAGTTTTGTCAAACAACACAATGCCACAGATGTCTCAAGTTTTAAGGAAGCAATTGGCATGCTGACTGCAGGAATGTCCACCAGAGCTTTTGCCTTAGAATTTCTGCACAAACTGTCAGAAACCGGCTCAGGGAAGCTCATCTGTGTGCTTGTCATCCTCACCAGGGGTTTGACCTGACTGCAGTTCGGCATCGTAACCGACTTCAGAGGGCAAATGCTCACCTTCGATGGCTACTGGCACGCTGGAGAAGTGTACTCTTCACGGATGGTTTCAACTGTACCGCGCAGATGGCGTTGTGTGGGTGAACGGTTTGCTGATGTCAACATTGTGAACAGAGTGCCCCATGGTGGCGGTGGGGTTATGGTATGGACAGGCGTAAGCTACGGACAACGAACACAATTGCATTTTATCGATGGCAATTTGAATGCTCAGAGTAACCATGACGAGATCCTGAGGCCCATTGTTGTGCCATTCATCCGCCGCCATCACCTCATGTTTCAGCATGATGATGCACGGCCCCATGTCGCACGGATCTGTACACAATTCCTGGAAGCTGAAAATGTCCCAGGTCTTCCATGGCCTGCATACTCACCAGACATGTCACCCATTGAGCATGTTTGGGATGCTCTGGATTGACGTGTATGACAGCGTGTTCCAGTTGCCGCCAATATCCAGCAACTTCGCACAGCCATTGAAGAGGAGTGGGACAATATTTCACAGGCCACAATCAACAGCCTGATCAACTCTATGCGAAGGAGATGTGTTGCGCTGCATGAGTCAAATGGTGGTCACAGCAGATACTGACTGGTTTTCTGAACCACACCCCTACCTTTTAAAAAAAAGATATCTGTGACCAACAGATGCATATCTGTATTCCCAGTCCATAGATTAGGGCCTAATGAATTTATTTAAATTGACCGATTTTCTGTTATGAACTGTAACTCAGTAAAATCTTTGAAATTGTCGCATGTTGCATTTATATTCCACAGTTACCAGGGTGAGGGGAAGTGTTGGTGTCTGGGTGAGAGGTAAGGTTTAGGGGCAGTAGTCTGGACGTCAGTGGTCTTTCCTTCCGGGTTCAGTGGCTTTGCCGAGATTTCCTGCTTCCTTCTTTAGTACACTCAGCAGTGTTTGACAGCTCTCCAGAATCTAAGAGAGTGTAAGACATGAATCAACATAAGACCCATTGCATTTACTGTATGAAATACCATAGACTGAGTCAAGTGGGATCGGATACAGCTAGACTACCACTTTAATCAGACAATCTGCTGTGCAACAATTTGATTGGAAGAGTCTGGCTCTGAGCACTCAGTTGTTTTTAATTAACAACACTTATGGGCGTTTGTTTGCTCTGCCATTAGGCTATTAGTAACACCAAGGGAGTTGGATATTAAGATAACACGTGGGATGTTTGCTGTCTGGAATTGCTGCAAATAATTCCATCCAGCGTTCTTTTGAGAGTCAGAAGACATGGAGAATGTTGTCTTACCCAGTACATTTACAGGTCCTTTTGCAGTCAAATTGATATGTACTGTAAAGCTCACATAATATGCTTTCATGGTTTTAACACAGAAATACACACACCACAGAAAAAATATGAAAAATAGAAACCCTAAACCCTGGCTTGTCCTGACCTTCGTATAGGCACCCTTGGTCTCGCAGATGGTGCGGTCAAAGTCAGCGCGGACGGAGAGTCGTCGAGCCAGACTCTCATTGACGCGGCTTAGTTTCTCGGTGAGGACACAGATGTCGTGCTGCAGACGACCCTTCTCCTCCTCCTCCTGCTGGATCTGACGGTTCAACTCATCCCTCTTAGAACACAGCCTCTCGATACCTGGGGAGAAAGAAACAACACTGGCTGTTAGGAGGTGGAATGTGGAAACAACCATGGTATTCACTTCATGTATACATGTCTCGGTTTTTACAGTGTTTGAGCTGGAGCCTAGATCAATTATTTATAATTATGAATGCTTACCATCAAATATAGCCTGGGCCTGCATTCCTAGTCCCAACATCATGAAAATTGTAGAAAATATGGCTATTTCAAAGAGAAAACAACCTAGCGGTCTATAACCTATCCTCCTAAATACGTGTCAGACTTGTTATGCACAATCTAAAAGGGATGAGGGAAGCGGAGGTCTAAGCTGAGGTCCCACTCACTCAGCAGCCCGTTCCTACTGAATCAGCCCATTCTAGCCTATGATGGATAAGGGAGGTGTGTGTGTGACAGAGAGTCAATCATACATTAATTCAATCCCACTGCTAGATGTCATGTCTAATTCAAACCACAGCTACTGACTAAGATCTCCTTCACAGTTTAAGAGAGGCGTTATTCGCACCAACACTACATCTAACCAGCTCCATAACACTAGCCTATATTTTCAAAGCCATTCATTATGATTCCTAACAACTGCTGACATAAAATATAGCAAAACTGTAAATGACTGGGATTGAGAATCAAGGGTTCAATTGGTCTCACAGACAATGTCAATGAAAATAACAAAGCAGATCACTTGGGCTAAACTTGACAGGAGACATGTCTGCATGGTTTGATCATTTACATTTTAGCAGACGCTCTTATCCAGAGCGACTTACAGGAGCAATTAGGGTTAAGTGCCTTGCTCAAGGGCACAGACAGATGTTTCACCTAGTCGGCTCGGGGATTAGAACCAGCGACCTTTCGGTTACTGGCACTATGCGCTTAACCACTAAGCTACCTGCCGCCCATTTATCCTGGTTAATTTATCCAGTCATGTCAGCCAGATAAATCTAATGGGCTTCTGATACATGGACTCCTTGATTGAAACATAGTTACTCAGAGTTGGGTGCATTTAAATTATACACAAGCAGAAAGCCTTGTCTTGATTTAAACCATAAGTGTCAGGGGTTTTATGGCTGTGCTGCAGCAAGGTGAAATATAGTCTGTGGATATTTCCCATGGGTCTGCTGTAGCATGGAAGGGCTGCAGTGAATCTGCAGTCCAAACACACACACACACACACACACACACACACAATAGCCTACTACTTGGATGATACCAACATTCTTGAGTTATATCCCCTCCCACTAAACCAGGTGTTCCCAAACTTTCTTAGCCCGTGACCCCATTTTGATATCTGAAAACTCTGGCGACTCCAACCGTGCAAAAAAATATATATATGTAGCCTAATTAACAGCCAGTGTTTACGTTTTTAAATGGGGTTATGGCAGTCAATTGCAAAACATTCTAACAGTATTTCTGATTGTATTCTCAACTCACCATCATATACTTTTAATGTGGGGCTTTGACAGTCAATTGCAAATTAGTCTGACATAATTTTTCTTATTTCATAACCACTAATGAGATGGGTGTGCTTGATGCATGTTGCGTCGGAGCTTCTCAAAGTCAGGGGGCGTGGTCGACAGCGCGCACCTCATCTCTCCTGTCACATCCAACCTGAATCGATATTTGTTTTGAATGCAGATGAGAGCACTGAATCAGCGTACTATGAGTTTTAATGCTTGGAGGGAGTCGGCAAAACTCCTCCATACTGAAGGGTGAATGAGTTGTCTGCAGCATTTGGTCACATGACAGCTCGATCAGTTGTTAAATATGTCAAATGGGCCAGGATCACGGTCAAACGGATTTCGCTGATTCGGTCACTCATCTGTATGAAACCAAATATGTCTGTTACATAGGGAAGGAGAGACATTTTATTTTCATTACACAGAAAGTCAACAGTCTTTTTTTATTTTTACACCCATTGCAAATGACAAAAGTTCCTCTCTCAATTCGAAAAATCTTTCCAACACTCCCCCTGGATATCAAAAAGAAAGGAGGACCAAGGCAATCTTCATATAATTAATTAAAATCCCTTTATTTGTATGGCATGTTCAATGGAAACAAAGATTAAAAACTCCGACGCGTTTCGGCTGTATGGCCTTCATCACCAAGCCTCGGTGTGAAATAGAACATTATGTTTTGCGAACAGGCATGCACGATGTAGTGAACAGTCGAAGTTACACTACATTACCAAAAGTATGTGGACACCTGCTCGTCGAACATCTCATTCCAAAATCATGGGTATTAATATGGAGTTGGTCCCCCTTTGCTGCTATAACAGCCTCCACTCTTCTGGGAAGGCTTTCCACTAGATGTTGAAACATTGCTGCAGGGACTTGCTTTGATTCAGCCACAACAGCATTAGTGAGGTCGGGCACTGATGTTTGGCGATTAGGCCTGGCTCGCAGTCGGTGTTCCAATTCATCCCAAAGGTGTTCGATGGGGTTGAGGTCAGGGCTGAGGTCAGGGCGCTGTGCAGGCCAGTCAAGTTCTTCCACACCGATCTCGACAAACCATTTCTGTATGGACCTCGCTTTGTACACAGGGGCATTGTCGTGTTGAAACAGGAAACATACCAGTAAAGCGTGAGCCTATCACAATCATTAAAAAATAGATTCCAAGAAAACTGTAGGCTATTACACTATTTATCATTACCACATGTAAGTAGCATGAAAAATGAGCGAATAGACTTGAAAACTTGTGGAATACGCTCCAAGCCGAAACAAGCATGGACAGCAGTGTAGTCGATGCATCAATTCATGTTACAAGACTTGTGTAGTAGGCCTAATGAATGACAATCACCGAATGTCATTCATAACACTTTTGGGTGTTTTGTAAGTGATGTCTCTTTGCACTTATCAAATGGCACTGTATGAATGTCAGAATTATTTTAGAGTTGCTAATAGTTGGAATAGTAACTGAAGTCTGCACAGACTGTAGACCTCACCTTTAGCCTATTATAATATTAACTCCTGCAGAATTAAGTGTTCCTCAGAGTAAAATTATAGACCAAATGCTAATTTTGTCTCGGGAACAGGAGTGGAGAAATATTATTTATTTATTTCAGGATCTTGAGAGAATGCAAATGTGAGCGTATGGACCTGTTGTTGTTGTCACGATCGTTGGGAAGAGAGGACCAATGCGCAGCGTGGAATGTGAACATCCTTTAATTATTATGATCACACGAACAAAACAACAAACGATAACGAACCGTGAAGTCCTTGGCTACAATATAAACCATACGGAACAAGATCCCACACCATACTGTGGGAAACAGGCTGACTAAGTATGGTTCCCAATCAGAGACAACAAGCAACAGCTGATTCATGTTGCCTCTGATTGAGAACCACACTGGCCAACATAGAAACACAATACTAGAACGAACACAAATGAAAACTCACACCCTGGCTCAACATACTAGAGTCCCCAGAGCCAGGGCTTGACAGTACCCCCCCCCCCAAAGGCGCGGACTCCGGCCGCGCCAACCAAACACCACAGGGGAGGGACCGGGTGGGCACTCCGCCTTGGCGGCGGATCCGGCTGCGGGCCTGATCCCCACTCCCTCTCCAACCCCCCAAAGTACCCCTGGTCCGGTCTGGCCCCGCTGGCCGGAGCTGGACTGCACACTGGTGGAGCGGATTGCTCTAGCTCCGGCGTGAAGCAGCTGACCGGTGCCGGACCAGGCACCGGTGGAACAGGCACGGGCAAAACAACAAACGATACGTGAAGTCCTACGGTACAGACACAAACCAAAAGGAACAAGATCCCACACCATACTGTGGGGACCATACTTAGTCAGCCTGTTTCCCACAGTATGGTGTGGGATCTTGTTCCTTTTGGTTTGTGTCTGTACCGTAGGACTTCACGTATCGTTTGTTGTTTTGTTCGTGTAACATTAATAAAAAGCATGTTCACCTTCCACGCTGCGCCTTGGTCCTCCTCTGTATACGACGATCGTGACAGAAGATCCCACCAAGACTGGACCAAGCAGCGTGTCCAGGAGCCAGCGCCAGAGGTATCGCTAAAGGACATCAACCTCGACTGGGCCTGGCCCACGGGGAGGAGAGACCCCCAGAAAATGTTTAGGGGGGGGCTCACGCCGTGGACGACGGGGCAGCAGGAGGCCGCGATAGAGCGGTCCAGCGGGTTTGCAGAGGAGGCCGCCAGGTTAAGGGGGCCACTGGTCACAGAGGAGAGGGAAAGTGTAGAGGCACGGCGAGAGGTACTGGGGTGTGTTACCAGTCCGGTCCGGCCCGTTCCTGATCCCTGCGTAGGGCCAGTGGTGTGTGTCGCCAGTACGGTCCGGCCTGTTCCTGTTCCTCGCATCGAGCCTGTGGTGCGCGTCGTCAGCCCGGCCCGGCCTGTTCCTGCTCCACGCACCAAGCCTATGGTGCGCATCGTCAGCCCGGCCCGGCCTGTTCCTGCTCCACGCACCAAGCCTATGGTGCGCATCGTCAGCCCGGTTCGGCCTGTTCCTGCTCCTCACACCAAGCCAGTGGTGTGCGTCGTCAGTCCGGCACAGCCCGTGCCTGTTCCACCGGTGCCTGGTCCGGCACCGGTCAGCTGCTCCACGCCGGAGCTAGAGCAATCCGCTCCACCGGTGTTCAGTCCAGCTCCGGCCAGCAGGGTCAGACCGGACCAGGGGTACTTTGGGGGGTTGGAGAGGGAGTGGGAATCAGGCCCGGAGCCGGATCCACCGCCAAGGCGGAGTGCCCACCCGGTCCCTCCCCTGTGGTGTTTGGTTGGCGCGGCCGGAGTCGTCGCCTTTGGGGGAGGGTACTGTCACGCCCTGGCTCTGGGGACTCTAGTATGTTGAGCCAGGGTGTGAGTTTTCATTTGTGTTCGGTCTAGTATTGTGTTTCTATGTTGGCCAGTGTGGTTCTCAATCAGAGGCAACATGAATCAGCTGTTGCTTGTTGTCTCTGATTGGGAACCATACTTAGTCAGCCTGTTTCCCACAGTATGGTGTGGGATCTTGTTCCTTTTGGTTTGTGTCTGTACCGTAGGACTTCACGTATCGTTTGTTGTTTTGTTCGTGTGATCATAATAATTAAAGGATGTTCACCTTCCACGCTGCGCCTTGGTCCTCCTCTGTATACGACGATCGTGACAGTTGTGTAGCCTAAACGTGCAATTTCTTTCAGCGACTTAAAAACTGAACATATTTCATTTTCAACCACATAAAATATGCATCCA